TCTTTCCAGTTGATTCTTAGTATTCTTCGGTAGCGTTGCATCTCGAATCCCAGTAACTTCTTCTTGTCAGTTTCCTTAAGGGTCCATGTTTCTGAGGCGTAAAGGAGTACACTGAAGACACATATTGTGAGGATCTTGAGCTTATTTTAGATTGTTAGTTTCTTGCCGTTCTAAATGTATTTCACGAATGCTATTGCTCCTGCTGCTTCCTCTTTTCGTCTTCTAATTGCTTTGAAGCAGTTGTTATCCCAGGTTGTAGGCTTCCCAGATACTCGAACTTATCCACATTCTCTGTTTTTGTCTCCCATCTGTATATCTTGTTCTATGCTTCTGTCGCCGAACACCATAGTTTGTTTTTGTCATGTTTACGGCTAGCCCTGCTTGCTCTCGTTCTCTCGAATTGCTCCTGTAGAGACTTACAACCTTCGTCTATCAGGTCAATGTCGTCCGCGAACCTTAGGTTATTTACTCGTATTCCACCTTTGTTTATCCGACAGTTGCTTTCTTTCACGTAGTCCATTACTCGCTCTAGGTATACAGTGAATTGTAGTGATGACAGCGAATCTCCTTGTCGAGTCCCCACATCTGTGCGAAACCATTCTCCTTGGTATCTTCTTATTCGTACTGCTGACTGCACTTTCTCGTACATCTTCTGTAGTAGTGTTACCACTTTCTCTTTTATGCCGTTTGATCTTGGTACAGCCCATATAACTTCATGTTTGATTGTATCAAATGCTTTCTGGAAGTCTATGAAGCACTTGTATATCTTCTTGCTGTGCCTTTTCGCTTTTTTGCTATTAGCTGAAGTGTTAGGATTTGGAGTGCGGTACTTTTGTCTTTTCTGAATCCTGCTTATTCTTCGGAGAGGTGGGGCTGCAGTTGTTGCTTTAGTCTATTGAGAAGTACGGTTAGTAGTATTTTGCCTGTGTGGTTTATGAGAGAGATTATTCGATAGTTCGTACACTGACTAAGATCTCCCTTTTTGGGTATTGGTACTAGGATGGACTTACTCATTCTTCTGGTATAGTTCCTTCATTTCAAGCTTTATTGCATAGTTTGTGAATTTGTCGTACTAGTTATTCTCTTCCCGCTTGCATAATTTCAGCTGCCATTCCATCTGATCCTGGACTCTTGTTCCCTCTTAGTGTGCGTATTGCTTCTTCTACCTCAGAGTACAGGATGTCTTGTGTTTCCTCTTCGTTCGTAGGTGTAATGCTTTTGAGGTCTCTTTCCGTGGTCTTTATACATGCTGCTGCAGTATTTCGTCGATTGTTGGATGATTTCCTCTTGAGACTCCAGTACTTTGCCGTCTTGATCTCGTGTCAATCTGATTCTAGGCGTGAATTTTCTTCGTAGCATTTTTATCAGACTGTACGCTTGTCTAGTTTTTCCTATCGCTAGATCCTTTTCGATTTTTTTACATTGCTGCTGTACCCAGCGTTGTTTATCTTGTCTTTTTTGCCCTTTTGATTTGCTTGCATAGATCTTTATGTTCTTGGGCTTTTTGATTCGAGGCATTTTTCGTTTGTTTCAGTTGTCGTTTCTCTTCTGCTAGCTTGAGTGTTTCGTCGGATATCCACAGTTTCTTGGTGTTTCTCTTAGCGGATATTGTTGCCTCTGCTGCTTCTTTGGTGGCAGCCTCTATTTTCTCGCATGTTTTTCTAGGTTTTCTACTAGTTCTATTGTTTCTGTTCTTTGCCAGTTTGTTACAATAGAACTCTCTTATTTTCTCGTTTTTTCGTTGACTCACATCAATCCTTATCATATGGTATACCTTGTTGCACATCCTTTTGAACCGCAGTCTTATATTGCACAGTATTAGTGAGTGATCTGAGCAGATACCAGCGTCTTGGAATGCCCTACAGTTGATGATCGACGATATCCACCTTTGCTGGACGAGTACTAGGTCTATCATGTTCTTGTGTACGCCATCTGGTGACACTCAGGTCCATTTTCGCTGTGATTTCTGCTCGAAGCGGGTGTTACATATACACAGACTATGTGTCGCAGCGAACTCTAAGAGACATTCTTCTCTTTCATTTCTCTCACCGTATCCAGGTGTGGGCGCATATGTATGTATCACTGTGATTTTGTATGGTGCTGCATCAAACCTAGCCGTGATCATTCGTGAGTTGATTAGATTGTATCCTATGAGTGCTTTTCTGGCTTTCTTGCTCAGCAGCATTCCTACGCCTCTGACGTCTATGTTATCTTCTCCTGACCAGATGAAGTCTCTATTTGATGTTTCGCCTTTGCCTGCCCAGCGTACTTCTGAAATACCTACTATGTCGTACCGGAACCTCTTCATCCCGTTCCTGAGCAACTCTAGCTTTCCAGTTGCCTATAGTATCTGCACGTTCCATGTTCCTACTGTTAATGTGTCCTTTGTTAGTTTTAATTTCTGTGTTCTTATTCTTTTATCGCTCAAATTTGTTAGTTTTCCAGTAGCCGAGTTTTCGATTCTGCTCTGTTCACTCATCAGAGGACGCACATCTTGTTTAACCAGGCGACATCCGAACCGGCATGCTTTCCTACTATCTGTATTCACGGTTGGTTTCTATCGTCTTTTTTCTTTTTCCGAACAGCGGCGACTGCACTCCGTTCCGTTCAACGCTCCACTTGAGATCCGGACTGACGACCAGCACAAAATCACAAGATGAGGAATTGTGGTGGAATTCTCATACATAATGAATTTTCATTCACCGCGTTAACGGCTAGAGAATTCCAAGACAATTACACATGAGTGACTTGTCCAGGGTCATTACATAACTGGTGATACTGATGCCGAACTCAGTAACTAGTGATCATGTGACGACCACATAAGCATTCATCCATGTTGCATCAGACAGTGGCTAGTAGGAAATCCATTATGATAACCAAGAAGAGTAGTACTACTCTCATCGGTATATAGTAGCGTTTGAGGACCCGAATGAAGCCCATGTCATTATTATTATCTTCATGGCGATATACCCGGCTGAAAAGTAATATTTTCATTAGCTTGGAGTATCAGCACTGGACTTTTAGATTTTTTGACATTTAAGACTAGCTCTGACAAATCGATAAATAGCAGAGCCATGTTTCAAACTCGAAAGCATGTTGAAAATTGACCAAGAAGATATCAAAGCGAAACGGAATAATTCATGAATAATAAATGTGTCATTGTGCACAGCTCACAAAGATTTTAAGAACAGTAGTAAAGCACCTATTGTCTAAAGGATCGTAGAGAAACGTTTTTGAGTGTTTTTCGCGATGACATCTGATCTATTGAGTTCTTGAGTTGTGTTGCTGACAGTTGCACTTATTTTCCTGAAGATTTTCTCCATCGATAGATTTATAATTGCTGTTCTCCAGTTGAGTAAGAAAATTTGAAGTCAGATACTGAATCGTGTATACTTCTTTCCCATTTACAACACATTACATTTTTTTATTAATGCCTTTTGTTCTTTCTCACAAGACGTTGGTTTTAGAAGAACGGAAACTTAGTCCTATATACGGAAGATTATATTATTTGTCTAACGTCAAACTCAACTGAAAAAGATAAGACCCAATCGAAGAATATAGTGTGTCTCTTAGCGGAAAAATATATGTACAGTGCAGCATTTGAGATTCTTTTTTGTCATTTTTTTATATATACGGTGGTCTGCAAAAATTTTTCTCATACAAAAATTGTAGGAAAATCTGAGATTTTTTTCGGAATATCTTTTCATACACTTTATCCAAATATAGTATAGAACTGTTTTTTAAATGGTTCTCACTCTGTATGTGTATGAGCACAATAATTATTATATTTTCTGCCCAAATACCGAAAATTCTAGAGCAATACATCGTTTTAGTAGATAGAGGGTCGACGACGTTTGTGTCACGTTACTTTGCATTTTATGATTTTTGTGCATTTTGATGAAATTTTAGTATAGGTTATCGTAGACAAGTGAAATGGCTTTCGGAAAAACTGATGATATCTTATAGAGGTTATCAGAATTAAATATATATGTCAAACCTGAAACTCGAATTCAATTATTGGAATTTTACTTCAACTATTGATGTATTCAATTATTCCTTTTTCGAATAGTTGAAGTTCAACTATTATTCATATATTAAAATCTTCATTTTTCTCAGAGAGATGATTTTCCCGCGGATGAAATATATACTTTTACACACACACATCACGGTACCAGATGATGGTGTGGATAAAAGAGTTTTCCCGCCGAAAACATATAGATTTTCAGACGAGCACATCATCCGACCAGATAAGGGTGTGCCCGTGTAACCATTTTTAAATTTTCAACGTGTTTCTGAGCGTTTAGCATAGAAGAACTTGACGCGTTTGTATGCATCGAAAATGTAACATTTTCACGCGTAAGAACGCGTTCAGAAAACCAAGCGCATCTAGATGCGTTTAGTTTGTTCTCGAAAAATTTTCAACAAATAACCATCACTCTATCGGATTCGAGTCGACGCACCCATAGCGAACTATGATATAACACCAAGGGGGAAACGGCGGATTCGGATTCTTTGGATTTTTCGGATTATTATGGGATTATTGGGATTATTGGGATTATTGGGATTATTATGGGATTATTGGGATTATTGGGATTATTATGGAATTATTGAGATTATTATGGGATTATTGGGATTATCATGGGATTATTGGGATTATTATGAGGTTTTTCGGATTATGTTTGGATTCCTCGAACTTTTCAGATTCCCACAAGATTGTTGGGATAGCAGTGGGATTCACAGAACTTTTTCTTACAATGGAGGTACTTGTATTGTAACCGAGCTAGACTTGATATTTTAGCATCAAATGAAAGCTCTCACTG